TGATTAATGTCTCTGGTTGACAATTGTAGATTTTCTTGCCAAAGGGCGCCACATTGCTACCCTTGACTGGGGTATCCCTGTGCCTTCTCGGGTAAAATGTCAAAGATATCAGTAAAGTGGTCTATGCTATAATATGCTATACTACAAACCCACTGGTGATGTTATTTGTTACCTCAAGAGTTCGTCACATAAATGACCATCAGGGATTTTTTGTAATAAGTTTTATTCATCTTACACTTGTTTCGATAATTCATGTTCACATGGGTGCTGGCGAGTGGCATAGGGCTCTGTTAGTTTGCTGTTGGAGTTGAGGGAATGGGAAGAGAAACGCCGAGAAAAGTTAGGTATTCATCTTCTCGGACTACATTCCAATTAACAACAGTTTCAGCCGAACTTAGATTTCTAGTTTACTTATAAAAATTTAGCCTATCTTATACACCTATATTACAACATTTGGGAAACAAAAGACTTTAATTAAGACGAGGAATATTGAATCCTGGGGAACTTGAAGAAGCTAATTCAAGTTATAAGGTAATGTGGAGCAAACTGTCAATGGAACCAATTGAGCAGACATGGAAATCTAGATAGAGGAATAAATAAATGATATCACATTAGGAAAATAAAAGATGCAAAGAAGCCATTTAGGAGAAATCTAATATATAGTATTCCAGACACACGCGTGGGTTCAGGCACGACAATTCCCTAAGGCACACGCTGATTTTAAATAATACCTGCGTACTGGAATCATGAGCATTCTTACTTTGTTTTGCATAACTTTACTAGCTATCTGCATATTGAAATATTTATATGCCCAATATTTCCTTTTTTCTTGCATTTCACTTTCGATGACGCTCACTACCTATTCTTTGTTAGCGGATGTCTGACAATAGTGAGAGTGCAAGGAGCTCCTCTCCCACGGTAGGCAGTGAGAGTGCGAAGTCTGGACTGACCTGGAACAACATTATATCAGCTCTAGCGCAGCAGGCATCAGTATATGGAGTAGCCTTCGGCTATTGCATCTCAGCTTCCCTCCTCTCCATCATTAACAAATGGGCTGTCATGAAGTTTCCATACCCAGGTGCCTTAACTGCCCTTCAATACTTCACCAGTGCCCTCGGTGTCCTCTTCTGTGGGCAGCTAAACCTCCTTGACCATGATCCTCTCCGCCTTGTCACCATGTGGAAATTCCTGCCAGCAGCTACCATCTTCTACCTTTCCCTCTTCACCAACAGCGAGCTCCTCCTCCATGCCAATGTTGACACCTTCATCGTCTTTCGCTCTGCTGTCCCGATCTTTGTGGCAGTCGGTGAGGCTGTTTTCTTGAAGCATCCTGGTCTTCACTTGCGACCATCTTTGCTGGAGGCGTTATCTATGTCCTGACTGACTACAGCTTCACTCTTACTGCTTACAGCTGGGCTGTGGCATATCTGGTGAGCATGACCATTGATTTTGTGTACATAAAGCACGTAGTCATGACCATCGGGCTCAACACATGGGGCCTGGTGCTCTACAACAATTTAGAAGCTCTGATGTTATTCCCCATTGAATTGCTCATAATGGGCGAATTGAAGAAAATAAAGCACGAGATTGCTGATGAGTCGGATTGGCATTCGTTTGGTGTGGTCTTGCCAGTGGCTCTTTCATGTTTGTTTGGTTTGGCTATCTCCTTCTTCGGGTTCAGCTGTAGAAGGGCGATATCAGCAACGGGTTTCACAGTTCTGGGCATAGTCAACAAGCTTTTGACGGTTGTGATTAATTTGGTGATATGGGATAGGCACTCAACGCTAGTTGGGACAGTTGGGCTACTGGTTTGCATGGTTGGTGGTGTGCTGTATCAGCAGTCCACTGCTAAACCTAAGGAGGCGGCGGCGGCGGCGGCGGCGGAGCCTCCTTCATCTGGGTGCACGCCAGTTTGTTTGTGTTTTTGAACAATGCCCTAAATCTGTTACGAATATTTGGATGAATTAAGTTGTATGTTTTAAATTTATGTTTTTATCAAAGGCAACCCATGTATGCATGAGAAGAGTTTGCTATAGCATCATATTCTACATCTATGATTAATGTCTCTGGTTGACAATTGTAGATTTTCTTGCCAAAGGGCGCCACATTGCTACCCTTGACTGGGGTATCCCTGTGCCTTCTCGGGTAAAATGTCAAAGATATCAGTAAAGTGGTCTATGCTATAATATGCTATACTACAAACCCACTGGTGATGTTATTTGTTACCTCAAGAGTTCGTCACATAAATGACCATCAGGGATTTTTTGTAATAAGTTTTATTCATCTTACACTTGTTTCGATAATTCATGTTCACATGGGTGCTGGCGAGTGGCATAGGGCTCTGTTAGTTTGCTGTTGGAGTTGAGGGAATGGGAAGAGAAACGCCGAGAAAAGTTAGGTATTCATCTTCTCGGACTACATTCCAATTAACAACAGTTTCAGCCGAACTTAGATTTCTAGTTTACTTATAAAAATTTAGCCTATCTTATACACCTATATTACAACATTTGGGAAACAAAAGACTTTAATTAAGACGAGGAATATTGAATCCTGGGGAACTTGAAGAAGCTAATTCAAGTTATAAGGTAATGTGGAGCAAACTGTCAATGGAACCAATTGAGCAGACATGGAAATCTAGATAGAGGAATAAATAAATGATATCACATTAGGAAAATAAAAGATGCAAAGAAGCCATTTAGGAGAAATCTAATATATAGTATTCCAGACACACGCGTGGGTTCAGGCACGACAATTCCCTAAGGCACACGCTGATTTTAAATAATACCTGCGTACTGGAATCATGAGCATTCTTACTTTGTTTTGCATAACTTTACTAGCTATCTGCATATTGAAATATTTATATGCCCAATATTTCCTTTTTTCTTGCATTTCACTTTCGATGACGCTCACTACCTATTCTTTGTTAGCGGATGTCTGACAATAGTGAGAGTGCAAGGAGCTCCTCTCCCACGGTAGGCAGTGAGAGTGCGAAGTCTGGACTGACCTGGAACAACATTATATCAGCTCTAGCGCAGCAGGCATCAGTATATGGAGTAGCCTTCGGCTATTGCATCTCAGCTTCCCTCCTCTCCATCATTAACAAATGGGCTGTCATGAAGTTTCCATACCCAGGTGCCTTAACTGCCCTTCAATACTTCACCAGTGCCCTCGGTGTCCTCTTCTGTGGGCAGCTAAACCTCCTTGACCATGATCCTCTCCGCAGCAGCCGTGGCCTTCCCTCAAAACCTGGTCTTCACTTGCGACCATCTTTGCTGGAGGCGTTATCTATGTCCTGACTGACTACAGCTTCACTCTTACTGCTTACAGCTGGGCTGTGGCATATCTGGTGAGCATGACCATTGATTTTGTGTACATAAAGCACGTAGTCATGACCATCGGGCTCAACACATGGGGCCTGGTGCTCTACAACAATTTAGAAGCTCTGATGTTATTCCCCATTGAATTGCTCATAATGGGCGAATTGAAGAAAATAAAGCACGAGATTGCTGATGAGTCGGATTGGCATTCGTTTGGTGTGGTCTTGCCAGTGGCTCTTTCATGTTTGTTTGGTTTGGCTATCTCCTTCTTCGGGTTCAGCTGTAGAAGGGCGATATCAGCAACGGGTTTCACAGTTCTGGGCATAGTCAACAAGCTTTTGACGGTTGTGATTAATTTGGTGATATGGGATAGGCACTCAACGCTAGTTGGGACAGTTGGGCTACTGGTTTGCATGGTTGGTGGTGTGCTGTATCAGCAGTCCACTGCTAAACCTAAGGAGGCGGCGGCGGCGGCGGCGGCGGAGCCTTAGTGAGGAGGAGAAGCAGCAGTTGCTTGAAATGCAGCCAACTCTTGAAGATATTGTAGTTGGCTCCGAAGAGACTAAATGAATGCGTCGTTTTATGCTCTCTTCTTCCTCCCTCCTCCTTTAGATTAGTTCGATTTTTTTTGGGTAGAAATTTTTTGCTGATGTATTCTTTAGAGGCAGTTATTTGATTGTAACTGTGAAGGAGTTCATTTGTATTGTACAACCACAATGGACATTACTACAGGCAATACTTTTCAGTACATTTATATTTGAAATATGGTACAATTTGCACACGCATGAACTTTGAGGGAAATACTTTGTAATATGGTATAGTCGAAAGATCTCTTTGTATGTGAACAATTAGGGGATATTTGTTAAACGGAAAGTAAATGGAAAGTGATAAAGAGAACATGTTTTTTGAAGAAAAACTATTTTTTATTACTTTCTATTTTGAAAAGTCTTGCTTTGATGATAATAAGTTAAAAAAAAAAAGGAAAAACTGATGTGGTAAATGATGTGACATTATCATTGGGCTCGGGCTTGAGCTCCGGTTTGCTCCCTAGCGACGGGGATCGGCTGCCTGAAACAGTTGCTCGCTCTTTAGAGGAAAAGGAAAAAAAGGAAATCACTAATCTCTCCTAAAAGCTGTAACATTTAGAACTCGAGAAATTAATTTACAAAAAAAAAAAAACCAAGGGTGTACTATGCAAAAAAACTCCTCTCCCTCTTTCAGTTGTTGTCTGGTTCTTCCTTCCTCCTGAAGAGATTTTTTGTGGGCCCCGGTTCCCCAAAACACACGATTTATTAATACAACCAACACCTACGAATAAATCCCCTCAACCCCAATCCCCCTTCCAAATTTAATTCATTAACTCCCAAAACCCATCTCAATTGAAAAAATAAAAATAAAAATCGTACTATCACTCTCTCTTCACTCCCCTCTCGCCCAAGTTCTCAATCTTAGCAACCCCCACCCCCAAACCAAACACAGCGTCTTCTTCTTTCCTAGGGTTTTCTCTATTAATGGTTTGGTGGGAATGCGTGCATGGGAGTGGCCGGAGAGAGACGTCAAAAATCGGCGGCGCGGGCCGCCGGAGGTATCGGGCCCACGGACGCGTCCGGTGGGCCGCCACACTTGCAACGCCCGTCAGCAGCGAGGGAAGCCTTACTTCTACGTCCTTCGGCGCCGGCTACGGCTGCCGACAACAGCCAGACCAGACGATGTCCAATGTCTTTGATACTGGTGAGCCAGTTTTTAAAAACCCCCCTTTTGATTTCTAGAATGAAAGTGAATTTTTAGTTCACCGGTCGTGTTAAAGAGTGGATTTTTAGCACAGTTTAGGAGATGGGTCAAGGTAAAGTTGAGAACTTTGCAATTTTTGAGGCAGTTATACAATTGGATATGTATGTAGGCTTTTAGCATGTTTGTGAAGTTCTAGGAGATGGGCATTTTTCCCCCTTGCAGCACTTGAGTTGGTTGTGGAGGGGAGTAACGGGAGATGAGGGGATGATTATCCTTGCCTTAGGTTTATTTAAATAGTTTCATTTATTAGAAGAGTTGGAATATTGCATGCGATTTAAGTTATAACATATGGTTCACAATTTCTTTCACCCGTCAACTGTGTTGCTCTGAGCCTTAACTGAAGCATGAGAGGGATTTATTGGGGTTAGATTGGTGCTATTATGTGCATTTTTATTCGTTTGAGTGATGATGCTATTGTCTAGTGGTGTTTGTATTTTCAGTTTGTTATGTGTTTAGTCTGTTTTAGTGGTATCTGGCCTTGGGGGTCGAATGATCCGTTTTGGCTGGAATGATTCATACAACCTCAGAAGATGAGTATCGAGAAAAAATTAGTGTCTTTCCTTTCTAGCATTTGGAGAAGAATGCAGATTAACCGTAAGACTGTCTTAATCTTTATGATGGAGTACAATTTATTGGATGCACTGTGGCAGTTCACTGTTTGATTTTTCCACTATTTATTCATGAGGTTGGTGCACTTTAAAAAGCATTGGAAATGGGTTTGCTTTAACTGTGCTAGATTTTTGGAAGGTGTAATGCTCTAGTGAGAAATGCGCCAATGTATGCTGATAATTAGTGCATATATTATTTTCATAAAGATATACTCTTGTATATGGAAACAGAATCTTTGTATGCAGCCCACACAATGATCAGTGGAATAAGCCGCGTAACCTCACACAGGTTACAAGTAGGGGACTGTTGTCCCTGTGTAGTATTCCTGCATGAATTCTATCTTTGTGTTAGGGAATTCTCCCCTTGATAATGGTCCGTGGTGACTATTATTTACATTAAATTGTTTGCATTTGAATTTCATCCTGGTAGGATAGTATGCGCTCGAAATTGAGGGTAACAATGGCCAATAATAAATATGAGTGATATATGAGTTGAGCTAGACTGCTATTAATGATATCCAACATGCGGATACTATCAACCCAATTTTAAAAATTGGAATCCTAAAATGTAAATTCAAACTTGTGGATGTTGTCTGCTATTAATAGTTAACCTACAACTATTATATTATCGTAATCAAATAACCATTTTCATTGCAAAAATAATTTCCTAAAATCATATTCTTTAAAACATAATTATATGCCTTTCTTATTATTTTGTTTGGTGATGGAATGTTATTTTTCTAAACAAAATAGCTTTCTTTTAGAAAAGAAAGTTTATCTTTGGACTAATGCTAGTTACGATAGAGAAGTGATTTTAAGTTGTTGGTTATCATGTCGTGGAGCATACAGTATGATAGATTTTGCAAAAGGCGAAAGATCATGCTAATTTCTTGAAATTGACCTTCATAATTTATGATAGAATTTTACGGTTTGATCCTTTTGAGTGAAACAATATATTAGCATTAGTTGACGAGCTACAAGATTGCAGTTAAAAATGATACTTGGATCAGGGTAGTAAAAAGATACATGGTGACTTCTTTAACTAGGAGAGTTTCGTGTTACGTCCAGATTTTTCACAGCCTCAAAAGTGAATATTCCACACGGGTTATTTATTAGGAAGGTGTTCTAAATGGTATATATAATTGAAAGGTTGTTTCGATGAACTCAAAAAATGTCATAATATTCATAACTAATATATTTGAGAGAGGAATGGTGGTAACACTGGAGTTGATGATGTTTGAGTGGCATTGCCGGAAGCATGCTTGAGATGTTGTGACTGATGCGTAAGCTAACAATGCTTGAATTTGGAAGCATGCAATTCAGCGTCATATAGAGCAAAGTGCCACACCATTCACAGACTTACTGGGGCCTTCTTTTAAGATCCATATGGGTATGATCCAATGTTACCAATGGAGTGTTCCTCAAGTGAGGACACTTCAAACAAGGGAATATGCCACAGCCTCCAAAGCGAGCGGGCCATATGGGACATTTGCTATGTGCTAGGAAGGTCTCCCACATGACGTGCTATAAAGGCATCTCACTTATTAACAGTTTCTATAAATTCTAAAGTCAAAAGTAATAACAATTAACAACTGGCATGTTTGAAGAGAAATTGCGAAGAAACTCGGTGGTTAAACACACACAATTGTGATGGTACTATGGCACGAGTTGATGGTACTACGATTTGCGAAGTCGTTGCTCAGGGTATTATGGGTTGACGCTTGGCGTTAGATTTAGTCTTTGGGCCTTGGTTCATTCCTAAATGTGCTGGAATTTTTAGACTGTTGGAGTTCCTTTTTTTTGACCTCCTTTTTTTCTACTTCACTATGTTGAGCATAGTACTCGGTATTTTTCCAGCTCTCAGTTTGTCAACGTGTCATATTTTGTGCTGGTCAGTTTTGTTAGAATATAAAATTAACCCATCATAACTTTAGAGTTTTGGTGTAGTGGTAGGGACTTCAACACGGTAATCAGAGCAACCTAGGTTTGAATTTTGCTGGCCACAAATTTCTAAAGCAAAGTTTCTTTTGTTTAAAGATGATGGTCCATGAGTCCAAGTTTCTATCCATAAGAGGGCTCTTAGCCTGCAGGGGCATGGTAGATTATAAAATTATAACCTTTAATCATCATCATAACTTCGGAGTTTTGGTGTACTATAGGGACTTTGACAAGTTTCCTCGCACTTTTCTCTTTACGCTGTCCCCCATTCGGTTCTCCTTTTTCTCGAAAGCTTTCAGATGTCCTAATTCTCGTTATCTTTTAGTAGTGTTATGTTATTAATTTAATTGCTAGTAGGAATCAACATATATTTTTGTACATCCTTCCTTGTACGCTTCATTGTTCTCCATTTTCATTGTTAAAAGGATTCCTCTTCTTTATAGTACAGGAAGGAAACTATAGTTATTGTGTTTATTATTTCTTTTTAAAGTTGTTACTAGCAAATATTTCCTTTTGTGAATATTAGCATCAGATAGAAATCAAGCTCAGTTGGTCTGTATTTTGATATGCTTATTATTCTTGTTAGTTATGGCTTTACTGGAAATTATGTTTATCTCTTGGATGAAAGAAACCAAACAAGCAATTTTTACATGCTCGTTTTTGTATTTCTCCCTTTTTGTTTGATAGGAGTTGATGATGACAGTCAATCTTAAATGATAACTCCAAGCAGAAAGCTTAAGCTGGTGGTTCTGGCTTAAAATGTATATGAAGCAACCGGCATATTAGAAGCCACATGAAATAGGGTCAAAACGGAAATTTTAGATTATCAATAAATAGATGAGCATAATTTGGCCTCAACAAGGTTGAGCCAAGGCCAGTTAGAACTCATTCAATGTTCTGGAAGTACCTATTTGAAAAATCTTAAGCTGTCAGCCTCTTGGTGATAATGCTATGAGGCAAATTGAAAGGTCCATGTAACTGACACAAAGA